TACGTCGGTAGAATTTAACCAAACCGAGAAAAGCCTTCCGTTCCTTGAATGGGGACGGGACAGTGTACTGCATGATTGCACGTACTTTATCTTCACAAGGTAGAACACCCCATGCTTAGTGATGTAACCCAATAGTTTTATCTCTGAGTTGCCCAGTACACACTCATCTTAGTTGATTACTATTCGATTATTCGAAAGACGTTCGAATAAGAGTGTAAGATGTTGATAATGTTCATCTACGTATGAGGATGCGATTAGCAGATCATCAACATAGACATGATCGAAAGAAATTCCTCATATTATGCTATCGATAAACCTTTGGAAATTTTGAGCAGCATTTAGTAATCCAAATGGCATTAGTAGGAACTAAACAGACCGACAGGAGTCGCGATAGCAGTTTTCTCGATATCTTCAAGAGCGACTTGGATCTGGTGATATGCCCGTTCCAGATCAATCTTAGAATGAATAGTTGTTCCATTGAATGGTGCTGTGATGTCGTGTATGTGGGGGATGGGATAGCTATCGAAACGCATTACCACATTCAATGCTCGGTAGTCGCCACATGGTCGCCAACCTATCCCACTTGTTTTGCGAACCATGTGGAGTGGTGGGGCTCAAGGACTGTGAGAAGGACGAGTATCACATGTAACTAGTAAACTGTCAAACTCACGTCTAGCGAAAGCTAATTTGTCCGGTGCCTGTCAGCGAGGTCTTTCTATGGCTGGTAGTCCGCGGGTGAAGATGTGGTGTACCACATGATGAGTCACCGACAGGCTCCCCTCTAGTAGTGTAGTTAGCTGTGGAAAATTTTCGAGCAAAGCGTTGTATGTGTCATCACGTGAATGAAATACCCCTGTATTACGGTACGCACCTGTTTGAGCTCCAAAGCCCATGAATTTGCTGTTCGACGAAGTATCTATTAGCTACAGCCTACGCGATTCGACTAGCAATGACAAAGCCAATCGCAGCGCGCAGACGAACCACCATAGGTTGAAACTTGCTGCTACCAAATGGTACGACAGAAACTTGGGACCCTGTGTCAACGAGGTACCTAGCGTCAGTGCGGATATCGTGCACGTAAAATAGGCGGACAATCTGAGGTGAGGGGCGGACGAGTACGGCCGCGTTCACTCATCAGTATGAAAGTTTCTCGCCTTGTATGAGCAGGGTGCTCGGCAGTGATGGGAGCCAGACCTAAAATTCTGGTGGAACCAACACCAACCGGCACTCGCTTCCGAAGCCGCCTTTTGGCGTGGCTTGGAAGATGCCAGCTGAGGGCGAGTACTAGCAGCCTTTCGTGATCTAGAGCGCACTCATGGGATGTGGGTTTCAGGAATGAATGAACGGTCTCGATACTTGGGACGGCTATGAATGCAGCAACCCCGATCTCCTTGAGCTTGAAGGTGACTAGCATCAAGGTCGAAATTTGTGTGTGACATAGAGGCAACTATGTGGTTGTCTCGCGAACCGATCAGCGCTGTTATCTTGTCTGTTATATGGGCAGTCTTGTTAATTGGCGTGTCCTCGAGCAGAGCCGTGATCGTAGGCTGAACTTGTGCTGGTAGTGCCTGGAGCCACAGTTCCCTGACTATGTGAGAGTCGGCTGTCGTGTGTCCTGTCAAGGATTGCAGGCACGTGAGGCGGTGGCATGATTTAACATCACCAAAGTGGTGACGTGCTAATAATATTCTAAGCCGTTACTCCCTCGATGGGAGGAGGTGTCTGAGAATCGCCTGTTCTAGACAATCGTAGATGTCAGGAACTGTAGGAATGAGAACAACCTCACGGACAGCGGCTATATGTTTTCCAGCGAGAGACTCCAGGGCATAGGAAAACATTTGCCGCTGGTCCATGATGCGGCGTTCCCAAACTGAGATTCCGTTGCTGCAAACCAGACCTCTAGTTCGTGGGGAATAAACGCGGCAGGTCGGAAGTTAGGAACCTGTATTTAGGAGTCTACCAGGCTGTCGTCATTTTGTCGGTCTATCTACCATCTTCAAACGCTGTTGTAGTTATTATATATATATATATATATATATATATATATATATATATATATTATTTATACATTCCTCTACAGTGAGACTAAAACATTATAACTCGAATTGCTTGATATTCCACTCACTCAATGATGTAACAATTCTGATTAACTGAGACAAGGGAAAACGATAGTCGAAAACATTAACGACAAAAAGGTGAACAAACTTACAAATGGCAGAGCATTTTAGTGCGGAATCTGGCAGTAATTACAACCTCAACATACAAAATTATAGAAACCACCTTTTATGACAGTGAGTTAAGTATTCTACTTTCAGAATACGGAAACCTACAAAATTATGAATTCGTCATATTCTTCAATGACGGAAAATCATACTGAATTTATTGCGGCACACATGAACAATTAAACATGAGGAGAGAAAGCGATTTTATTTTATTTCTATAAAAAACCGCTCCAAAGAAACTAGAGGGAGAAAATAAGCAGGTCACCGAAAGAAAGTGGGTATTTGTGTTAGACTAAACTTATACCGGGCAAGATGATCTGGAGTGATGAATCTGATTGGTTGTCCAAAAAAGTAACGGGAGTGACCTGAACACCTATAAAACGTTAACGTACCAACTCGTAGTTCGTGGTATCAGTTTGTCTTAATTTTATGCTTGTGTTTTTGCTGATGGTTGTCGACTGCTTTTATACTTAGTCTTAGCACACTTTTTGTGCTTACTGAGTCATCTATCCACTTGATTCCTCACACTCCCCCAGGCCACAAAGGTAAGTAGGTACCTTCCGGTTCACCGCAAACTCATCAAAGGCTGAAATTATACCACTTTGAGATTTTACAGCCAGTGTTTTTAGAGCGATAAACACTGGAAGCAGATTTAACCTACATGCTTAAAATTCATTGCCCTTTATTCAGATTTGCGCTTAAGATTTCACCTTCGATTCCTGACTGAATTTTCTGTGGTGTCATCTGAAGCTTGTTTTGGCTGTTACTGTCATCAGTTGGTAAGCGAAATTTTGTTAATCTCCCTTATAGGTTTTCAGTATGAAGTATGGGACCGTGGATCAGTAATTTACAACACTCTTCAGGTCAAATATATCCTTCAATGATGGTTTCGTGTACGGGTCATCTACGGTCCGCAAAACGATTCATTCCCACGATTAGGCAGCACACATCCTGAGTTAGCGTAAGCGAAAACAAGTTTTCGATCTTTCAACTAGTGTCCTTAATAATTGTAGAAAGACGATGTAGTCTCAATAACGAGTTACCATTATCGTGATGACTTTAAATATAAAAGAGACTTCATTTATAGAGTACAATTATCGTAAAAACTCATCACAATTAGGTTGTATGATAGTGATTAGTAAATTTAGTTATTTACTTATTTGAACACTAATATTGGAACAAAGAACAATATATGTAGGTTTTCTCTGCACGAACACCAACGGTTTTGCAAGTCGACTGGGTTACTGCATGGATGCCCAAACCGAAGTAGGCGTTTTTCTAGGGGGCTCGCTATCCGAGCTTTTGACCTCAAGATCTAATCCGCAAGGCAGTGGAGCAACGTCAGGTTTAGTCATATCGTATCCGGTGACCAACAACAGGCTTATGCTTTACTCGTTCCATCAGAACTCTAAAGCCCATGCGCACCTTTGGTGTAGATTGAGGGTTTCTCAACTCCTCTAGGTGGGTCTTCTATACCCACAAACCTGGCTGAAGCACCAGACACTTTCCATCCTCTTCATTTCTTAAACAACACTCCCGTACCCATATGTATGACTTCAGATCATTTAGCCTTATAGTCGAACGCTACATGGGCGCATCATTTTCGAACAAATGGAGTATCGGTGCCTACTGCTGCGGTATGCTGGAATTATTTGTCACCATTATTAAGTATTAGCGTATTCTATGTGCTTGCTGAATTATCGACTCACTTTCTCTATATTTTCTGTTCCAGATTTCCCCACTTCTGTTCGCGACCCTTCAACACAGCGTCAGTCAGTTACAATGTAGAATTCTGTACGTACCTTCAGACTAGACCGAATGCTGCCAAATGTTAAATGTTACGCTTTCACATTATAGCGCATCAGTAATGCATCCATATGTAAGATTTTGGTGCTGGATTGTGTTTATTCGGCTCATGCGCAACACAGTTTTACAGTCCACTCAAACGATGTTTCCAGTCAAACTAAAGTGCGTAAAAATTCATCAGCAAACAAATAGTTTCTCAACGCAGTTAAATAATTTTTAAATGACTGCAATCGCGAAGTTACTCAACTTTTTTGAGGTTTGGTTTGCCATATATCCTGCTTAGGTCAGTTGTCTCGTCATTCTTCTGAGTCCTTTCACGTATTATATACAAACTATTCTTGCTGTTTCAACACTCAGACTTTTTTTGAAGTTTCTCATTCTTAAAGTCAAATATGTCATGCTTTCAGAAGTGATACAATAAAGGACATAAACTAGGTAAGTATTTAGTTCGTTGTGATGACCTCGTAGGTGCCATATGAAGCTTCAATCTCTGATTGGAAGCTATTGTTATTACATATATCTGAATAAACAAAATACTCACTTTTCTTTCTTTTAGACGGAGAAACTGTGATCTGCCGTTTTATTCAAAAAGGCTATTTTTGTGAATTGGTTTTCTACATCGGCTATAAATTTTGATAGCACATGAATGTACGTAAATAAAGTTTCTATCCATACCTAGCTTTTATTTCTGAGTAGTAAATGTTATTCTGTGCTTCACCTGTCTTTGACGTCGAATTGTCAGTTCTTTCTCCGTTTTGTTAAGTGACAATACTTTAGATGGCATCCAGTCTGGATTTCATAATTGTTCCGAGTTCTTATCCAGCCTATGATCTTTTGGTAACTGAGTTAGACTTATTTGTTTTGAACACGGCATTATTTCTTTGTTGTTGAAGATTAAGCTATCCTGTTTCGCCTATTTTGATTGGTCGCTTCTGGGATTGTTATTTAGGGAATGTAGCCCACCACAAAACCAATTACTGTTTAAAAGAGTTTTGATTTGAAGTGTGTGCTCGATAATAGTACACTTTGAGAAAAACAGCCATGAAAAAAAGTTAACGGTAAAATACATTTTCGAAACTCAACTAATACCAAAACTCAGTAAATGGCAGGTCAGGCTTTAGGTCGATGATATTTACTTGCGAAACATCCAAGTATGTAGTGTAATCGTTCCAGCAGTTAAGATTTTTCGACTGCTATGAATAATATGATGGGAGGTAGTATTCAGCGTATAATCTGCAAATTCCCCAAGCCTACTTTATTCAACTCATGGTATGACGGCGAATGAAATAAATATTTCGATTCATGTACACTTTAAATGTTTCTTCACAATTAATTTCAGTCTGCAAAGAAATACCATTACCATGTACAACTATCAGTTCAAAGTGAGCTGAAAATAAAGATATAATAAATATACACCTGAATTCCTAATAGTTCAGAGATGAATCATTAGTCTTTTCCATATGATTTATTGGAAAAATCTCTGGAAATATTCAGTCCCGCAAATTGTATTTTTTCGTAACGTCATGAACACTGAATAAGTGTTACGACATGGAGTGTTTGGAGTGAATTAAGGCATAGACTCTTAGGATAGTCAGTTATCTGTTGTCTTTAAATATAGATGGGTTGTTTGTTTAGTAGTTTCTAACCATTTCTTGATTAGGAGACCTTTTGTTTGTTGATGCAACTGCTATTTTGACACTGACCTAATCATTGTCTATCTGCATTTTAATCAGTCTAACGGCAGCAGCTAGTATTTTGAAGGTTCAGGCTATTGGCATGCATAACTGGTTAACAGAATTTGTTTGCATACGAATCAAGCACTCAACATACGTAAACCGTCTGTTCAAACCAAGTAGGAAGATGCTTATTTATTCGATAACCTGGTTGCCCTTTAACATTCCACAGACTGCTGACTGTTAGCGTTAAAGATAAACTGTCGTTTAATTGCTTTTACGTACTACATCCAGCATCGTCAATTACTGGATGATTTCGTTATAAGTAAACAATATTGTGAAGACGCAAGTGTTCGAAAACCGGAAACCTACAGTGTATTACAACGCAGAAACGGAAGTTTCATAGGGTTGCTTCGAGTCACCCCCTACGTGAAGACGACTAATACTGGCTAGATACCCGGACTGATTTAAAATGGAGTTCTCCAGACATTAATCCACTAGACTATGCATAATTTACACAATAAAGCCATTTTAAATTACAAGTAAATGAGATGACTAAACGCGCTAACACTGCACTTCGACGAAAAAAATAAGGTTAGTTAACTGGAAGCAAAATTCTTTTTGAAACCGATTTTCTCTACAATTTCAAGTAGCCAAGGTCTAACAAAACGTTATTTCTGATTGAATTTTTACTGGCAAAACAATTATTAGTGGGTCATTGTAATATCAACATTATGAAATCCAGGTGGCTTATTAGTCAGTCAGTCAATTGCAACGTAGAAATTCGTACGTATGTACATAAGTTCAGGTTGACATACCACATTAGCACAGAGTCGCAAATGTCAAATCAAATCCCATAGTGATAGATATAGTAGAGGTATTAATGGTAAAGAAGAAGGCTAGGGTTTGGAGATATTATTCAATAGGTATAATTCAGTGAGATAAGGTTAGAAAGACAAAGGTAGAAGTGCTGACGAATCCAGAAGATTAGGATTTGAGAGAACACAATGAATGGATGCACTTGCACCATTGCAAACGATTTTGAGCCATGTCATTTAAGGTCTCTAACCATTGGTGACTTTCGTCCCAACCAGGTAAGCCTACATCTACCAACGTGACTCAGTCCACTTGTCAGTGACTTCGTGGATTTGTGCCATGTTTTAGTTTGGCCGGCCCTAACTTTCTTCCAACCTACTCCTACACCACAAAACATAGCTCGTCGAGGCAGTCGGTGGTTGTGCATTCGTAACACATGTCCGAACCACCTCTACTGATGAAATCTCAATACTTCATCAATTGATATGCCATTCCTACCTGGTACTAGTTTCCTAACGACAGCATTGCCTACTCGGTTGTCCCACGATATACGAGCAATGCTTCTAAGACATGAACTTCAATTTGCTCTAAAATCCACACTAGCCACTTCGCGCTTTTGTGGTAAGGAGAATGGAACATATCTAGGACCGGGCGCAGAGGAAGACCCGATTTGTGGACATTTGGCAAACCATATAGTCGTGGTGTATACGATCCAGTCGGTTCAATCGAGTCGCGAATTTCAGACGCAGTTACTCCGTTTTTCTTTTGTTCCTTAAGCAAATTTGTCAGTTGTTTTTCCATTTTTTTATTGATGTCGTTATTACTGGTGACTTTTTGAAATTTGCTAGGATCATCTAGCATTCCTTCCATTTTAGCTATGTAATCACTTTTATTCATGAGAACTATACCTCCCCTTGTCTGTTTTGCTTATGATCAAAGTATCATCTTTCTTGAGTTTTGTTAAAGCCTCACGGTATAGTTTAGTGAAAAAACGATTAGTGGAACGCTTACTATTCTTATATTGTTGGCAGTTGTCGACTAAAGTTGTCTTAAACCTGGCAACGTCTTCCACTAAGGTAGGGAACAGGTCATTTGTTTGTGAAAACAAATTCTCAAACTGCACATCGGTATCTAGGTGATAGATTTTCTGCCCGACCATAGCTGCTACCTTGACGTTGTGTTCGGGCTTGCCTATCGTGATGATCCAAACGAGCTATACTGGCTGTAACATATGTTCCTGCAGGTCCTACCATGCCAGGCAGGTCGATTGGAGAACGATGAGACTAAAAGCAGCTACTCAAGGTTTGAGGGCGAAGTCGTACTGCTGACTGCAGAGGATTGTGACAGCAGTAAGGTGTTTCCCTCGGACAACCAGCATCTGCAGCGATGCTGCCTTCTCACAGAGAAGGAAGGAAGGGTTAGAAAAGGTCGACCCTAAAAATGTCACACCTCACGGATTTCCGTCTCCGTCGGTAAAGGTGCCCATTAAGGGCCTTTAGGAGCGGAGCTAATACTCAAAAATCCTTTCATAAAACGGCCGTGCGTGACCAGCCCCAAGCAGTTGTCCCATGGACTCTGCGGTCACGCTCCCAGGTCTCCAAGACCAACACTAATCTATCTTCTTTTTCAGGTCCTTCACTAAACACCCTTCCTTGGTGTGGGCAGCCGGGAAGTGACAACCGCCCTCATACCCGTAACAGCACGAGAGACCGAATTGGTCGAAATCAAATTCTTCCTACACCCACACATACCTCTCTTCTCTCCACAACTAACTCGACTCACATTCCCCTTATCTGACGGCACCGCTAATGCAAACAAAGCGAGTTCACGAAACGTCATTTCTGGTCTCTTGAAACATCATTCTAGTCTTCATGTTGGAGCATTTAATGTACGTACATTGTGTCAAATGGGGTAACAGGCTTCCTTAGCTAGGACTTTAGAATCTCGTGCCATCGATGTATGCTGCGTCTCAGAAACGCGCATACAGGATCCTAGTAACATTATTAGTCTGATTTCACCTTGTCAAAAAGAAGCAGCTCGATTTACTCTTCGTGTATCTGGAAGCCCTGATGCTGCTTCCCGGGGTCTAGCAGGAGTAGGCATAGTATTGAGTCGTAGAGCTGAACAATCTCTCCTTGACTGGATCACAGTAGATAGTTGCTTGTGCGCTGTCCGACTAAACAGGACAGTAAGGACTCGGAAAGATAGGGACACTCGCCGTTGCCTCTTCGTCTTATCTGCCTATGCCCCCACTGACTGCACTGCAGACGAGGTTAAAGATGAGTTTTACAGGAAGCTTTCAAAACTCCTCCAGAAAGCTAGGCGCTCTGATATAGTCATAATGGCTGGTGACTTTAATGCTCAAGTAGGTAGACTAACTGAAAATGAAAGACACCTTGGTGAATAATATGGTGTCGCGGCTCAGAGAACAGACAATGGTGACCGTCCGTTGCAAGTATGCTCAGACAACCGCCTATTCTTAGCAAACACTAGCTTTAGGCATAAGGAAAAGCATCTGTTGACCTGGCGACCTCGAAAGTCGTCTCAACGTTGGACCCAACTAGATCACATTGCCATCAGCCACCGATGGAGAGGTTCGATAGAGGACTGTCGCTCGTTCTGTGACAAATGTTTGGATTCAGACCATGCCCTAGTGCTAGCGCGTATTTGTTTGATGCTTACTGGGCGTAGGAAGGACACCGTAAGAAAGCCTCTTAGGGTTTTACTTAATGATAATCAAGCTAAGAAAATATTTCAGGAGGAACTAGAAAAGCAGTTAGGCGACCATGTAAGCGATTCCCATCCGGAGGCAGGTTGGAATAATATCAAAAAGGCTGTGGAAACAGCAGTGATATCTGCTAGTAAGGTTTACCATAAGGCTAGAATGAAGCCATGGATCTCAGTAGCATCCAACGATCTGATGGGTGCCCGAAAACTCATCCAACCTGGCTCTGAACATGATGAAGAACGAAGTCAACTTAGGCGCAGGCTGATAAAAAGCCTACGTAACGACCGTGAACAGTGGTGGGTGGCGAAAGTAAAAGCGATGGAAAAGGCAGCGGCGATCGGCAACAGTAGACAACTTTTCCGCTTTATTAGAGAAACCGGTATTAGGAACCTGAATGTGAGTGAGACTATCTCGGAAAA